TAAGCAAGTTGGCTTTGAAGGAACTTAAGAAGGCGGCACAGGGTCGCAAGGGGCACAAATTGGGTTTTAGCCGGACTTTTTTGGGGGAGTTGAATAAGGTTTATGGGGTCTGTATTGAATAGCGTCTGGGGTTTGGGCTTTGGGTTTAATTGTGTCAGAAAGGGCTTTGCTGAGGGTTCCTTTCGTGGCAGAAAGCACTGCAAAAAACTCACAGACACATGCCAACGGCTCCTTCTCAAAGCCGCAACTGTGCAATTACCAGTAGTATTCCCTCAAAGTCCCTATGCCACACAGACCCTTTTCAACGGCTCCTGCAAACCCTACAACCCCAAACCCTGGGTGACGCGGGCCTGAAAAGCCCTGGCAAACTCCTCACGAGACACCACTCCATCGTGATTCGCATCAATGCGGCTGAAGAGATCCTCAGAAAGTCTGCCCGAAACCCTTAACATACAGGCTTTAATAATTAGAATAGGGTCTTGGGGCCCGTTATAGTATAATTCTATTAAGGAACCCCAAAGATAGTATAGGTAATTATTTTAGGCCCCCATCTTAAACCCTAAACCCCTGAACCCCTAAACTCCTACCTCAAAACCCTGGATCGGGTTCCGGTGGTTCTGTCACGACGTTGTAAGGGTTCGATATGGCCGTTCTTAGGGGTCCTTGTCACAAGCATCTATGTTACTATGTTTGCTTGTCTACGCTATATGCATGAGCATGTCTCGTGTTGATTAACAGATAACCTGCATTGAAACCCTAAACCCCAAACCGGCTTCGCAAAATTGAACTTCAATGCATCCGGGCCTAGGTTCATTCAATAATTCAAAGGCTCCGCCCAAAAAGAGCACATGACCCCTTTGAAATTAGGGTTTAGGGTTTAGGAAATTAGAACCCCCATCAATCCCTGCAAGCGCCCTGTATAACCCTTTTGCCGAGACCCTAGTATCAAAAAAGACAACCCCGAAGGACGGCAGTTTCACTACATCATGCCGTGGGCTTGACACAAGCCAAGATGAAACCCTATGAAGGCGTCGTTGGAACATGCTAAGAGGCCCCATGCACACATATCACCAGAAAGGAACGAGACAAAAAGTCCAAAAAGCTGCCTAAATGCAGGGTTTAGGGTTTAGGGTTTAGGGTTTGCACTCGCCTCTGTCTCTCAAACTCTCAAACCCACACTTCGCGAGCTCGCGGCCGTTGGCTCCATCTTAGGAGCAGCCACAAGGGGGCCCTTCAGCACAGCAGAGCGGATTTGTGCTGAGGGCTTCTATGCTCTAAGTGGTGTAAAGATTCACGGTTGGGGGTTCTCGGTTTAGGGTTTGGGGTTCAGGCTTGAGGCTGTAGGGCTGGGGGGGCAGGGTTTAGGGTTTAGGGCTTAGGGTTCTAGGGTTTCGGTTTGGGGGTTCAGGGCTATGGGATTCTCAACACCGCTTCAGGTTCAAAGAGAATCTAAGCCCTAAGCCCTTAGAAACACGCTCACGATAGACAGGGCCCGATACCTCAGTCCCATATTACGAGCCCCTTACATGCGAGACTCGAACCGATCCTCCTCTTCTTTATCAAGGGACCTCGGAAAAGTATACGTTTGTCACCCAAAGCTCTAATAGGGGGCGCCTTATTGGTCAGAGCAGGGTTTTGCATAGCATGTTCATAGCAACCCAAGGGAGTAATATTGGTACTTATGCAGGCTTCTATGTTCTGGAAGGCGAGAACCCATGATGGAGCTGAAAGCACGAAATGGTTGGGCGTTCGACGCCTTCAAAAAATTGGGGCAGAAGCGTCGGAGTGTTCCAGGGGGTTGATACATACATGATATATCTATATATATATATATATGTATGTATGTATGCATGCATGTATGTATGTATGCATGTATGTATGTATGCATAGATGTATGTATGTATGTGCATATGGATAAGCAGATAGATAGATCGAACAGATAGATAGACAGATAGATAGATAGATCGATAGATCGATCGATACAAAGGT